GCTCAGCTAGGCCCGCCCCCTCAAGCCGCTAACTTGCCAGCCCTAGGCAACGACCTTTTCCTAGGGCCGTTCCTTAGGCCCGGCTGGCTACGGATCTAGCCAACGGTCCCCTTGTTGGGCCGTTGGCTGGGGCCGGTGCCTCTACTGGTGCACACTACTTGTGCACCAGATGATTTCTTTTCATCTATAAAGCATTCTCAAGCAAATCTAACACATACAAAACATCAACAACACATCATAGGCAAGTAATAGATCACTAAATAGCTCAAACACTTCAAGAATCTACTATTTCTACTCATTTCTATCTATAAAACAATGGCTTCACAGAGCCAAGCATAAGGTGGGAGTCCATGGGGTTATACCTTTGTTGCTTCCACTCTTTAGCTTGGATTCCACCTTCTTCCCAAGCTAGACACCTCCTTCTTCACCTCCTAAACAACTCAAACAAACCACACCACAACCCTTAAGAACTAGAACTCAGAGATATAGGATAGAAGGAAAGCAGAGAAGCAATGGAAAGCTAAGATTGGATGAGAGGAAGATGGCTTATTGTGTTGTTCTCCTGATGCAAATGAATGGGAAGCCAAGGATGGAATCAAGAGGCAAATGTCTGCTAACTATTCATTTTATAGTGGCTCAAAACCCTAGGTGAAACAACAATGATTGGTGGAGGGAAAAATGGTAAAAGTTTGGCTAGAAAGTGTCTCAGGCAAATGCATTGGAAGCTTGTGGTTCACCATGCAACATGGACCCAAGTCTAGAAGGATAGTTTTAAATAGTTTGGGGGTCAAAATAGAATTTTCCAAAAATGATTTCTAAACAAACACTTGGTTCAGGTTTCTCCCGGTCTCACTCAGATAGGTTTCTCAGTTTAAAACTTGATACGCGAAGTACTCGAAAATTTAGGATTTTGGAATTAAAATAAGTTTCGGTGTTGAATTAATTTAAAATGTAAATCAAAATAATTTATTCAAACACCAAGCAGTGCTGTGGTGGCGCCAAGTGTTGTGCAGGTTGGGGGCACGGCTGCCACGTCTTCAGAAGTTCCCACCGCCCTTAGAATGAGCTATCAATCTGCTTCACGTGGTCCAGGTATGACTCCTAATACTTTATTAAATAATAATAACATTGGTGGTCATAATTCCCAATCCTTGAATAATAATATTGCTGGGGTCGATAATGCGCCCACTGTGGGTAATGTTAATAATTCATTTAATGCTACCCCCCTAAATGAACCCGTGGAGGGTTCTGCCTTCAATGCCATGGTAGTGACATCACAACCAAACAATGGTCCACCTATAAGCCGGGCACAAGCTATACGTACGGTCCAAGGGGGTCAGCGTCAAAGTTATACCCCTGCGCGCACAAATGTACAAGTTCCAGGTACACAACCTCGATCCTTTGCCCAATTGTTTACTGCTTCGAATCCGGGTGGTCATAATGTGTCAATTTCTAGTCCTATTCCGGTGCCTATTATTTCTGAAAAAATTGTAGAAATGCACTGTGGTGAACCATGCATTACCTTTGAGGATAGTGAAATCCAACAAATGAATAAAATTGAGAATATTATGTTAGTTGGTAAATTTTCGCATGGTAAACCGCTTCTATCTGAAATACGGTCTTATTTCGCTAAAACTTTTGTGTTGCGTGGTACAGTTGAAATTGGTCTAATGGAACCTAGACATGTGTTTTTAGCATTCTCCCATCCTGATGATTGTGTGGACATTTTGGTCAAGGGTCAAATTTCCTTTAATGGTAATTATCCCATGCGCTTGTTTCGTTGGACTGCTAATTTTGATACTCGTTTTGAAACTTCGTTGGCCCCTATGTGGGTTTTATTGCCTAATTTAAAAGCTAATTGTTTTTCTATCCCTTGCTTGAAACAAATTGTTAAGCCAATTGGCCGGTTTTTACATGTTGATGCTGCAACTGCCAAATTTTGTAGGCCTAATGTAGCAAAGGTTAAGGTAGAGGTTGACCTCCTTCAGCCACTTAGGACTAGGATGTTCATCAGAATGGGTAGTAAGAAACCTGGTAAGGAAGATGATGGATTTTGGCAGACTATTGAATATGAGAAAGTTCCACCTTATTGTCTATCTTGCAGGAAACAAGGGCATTTGGCCCCGTCATGTCGTTCTGGAGTTAGGCCTGCAGGCCCTGCTGGTGGTCATGGCCAACCACCACGAGGTCCACCGCCACCACACGGTGGTGGAGGCGGTGGTGGCCCCTTTAAGCCACCCCCATGCCCCCCGTGCGACCCCGCCTTCTGGTGGAGGCAATCAGGGGGTAGGAGGTGGGGCTGGTCGGCTCCCGACCACTCAGAACCATACAGCTTAGGAAAATGCAGGTTGGAATCAACGTCATAGGAGAAATACATCTAAAAGACGGAGACAAGATAAGGGCAAGGACCCGGTTATTGATCGGGGACGGGATCATGTGACTTTCTCAGTCCCCCAAGTTGGGGATAGGCCTGGCACTTCAGGTGTTGCACCTGAGCTGGGCTTGTCACGATCCCAACCTCCGGCCCCAACCCATATCTTTACTAGTAATGGTTTTAATCTTTTACAGGATGCACAGGTTACAGAACAGGCCCAAGAAGCCCATACTCAAAATGATCAGGAACCTGAGTTGGCCCATGGGGTTACCATCCAGGATTTTGATAGTGCATTAGATGACCACTTGGCCTCGGTTCTCGGTCAGGGTGAGGTTCCTCAGGGCCTTCAGGCTCAATCACAAGAGGACCCTAAAAATCAGTCTCTAGAGGGGCTGAACACACAGCCTCCAGTAAACATGGGGCCTTTACCATTTTTTCAGGACCTTGTCCATGCTTCACCACAGGTAGATACCCGATAACAGGAGGGTCTTCACTCGCTAGAGGGGCTGAATGCACAGTCTCCTTTACCGTCTGGTCAGGGCCTAGCCCGAGTTTCATCACAGGTAGATTCTCAATCCCCGAATAATGGGGGAGGTTCTTCTAATCTTCTATATACTCCAGGAACTGCTAATTCTACTGGTCAGGTTTGTTCTGCTCCTGACTCTGAGGGCCTGTTGACACCAGTTCAGGGTGGGGGGACTGGATTGTGTAATTTAAACACAAACCAGAACACCCTTCCTACGATGTCTCCAGGTGTTCAGCTGGTTAGGCGCCCTCGGAGAACTCGGTCAGCGTCGGAGCGCTCCAACGTTGCTGGGTTCTACCGCGAGGCGTCTGATGATGATGATAGTGATTCTTCCGTCGTTGGTAGAGTTGCTACCTTTGAGTCTGTGGGGCGTAATAAGGAGCCGGTGGGCCATGGCTCGCCCCCTAGGACCACTCGCGTGCCCTTTGGTGGCAAGTACACTACATCTCAGGTACAGCGGGAGCAGAGTAGTGCGGCCTTAGGCACGCCTAACTCTTCTCAGTCTCCGTCCTTTTGATGATGCGGTTCCTTGTTTGGAACGTGCGAGGTATTGCCTCGCAGGGCTCTTTTCAGAGATTGCATCTGTTGCTCAGAAAACATAAGCCTTTTATTTTATGCCTCCTTGAGCTGTTTTGTAGTACTGATAGGTTGGATAGCTTTAGACTGCGACTTGGCTTTGACTTTGCTTTTGCTGGGGTTAATGACAAGTTGTTGCTCTTTTGGAACTCTGACCTTGTTTCTAATTTTGAATTTGATTATGATCAATCGGTATCTGTCTCATGTGGTCATGCTACTATTCCTTCTGCTTTATGGCTTTCTTTTGTATATGCTAAGACTAGGGATCGCCTAAGGTTCCTTTATGGGATGAGCTACTCGCAGTCTCAAATAGGATCCCTCCCGGCGTCCCCTGGTCTGTGGTGGGGGATTTTAACTGTTTGCTAAATGCGGACGAGAAAAAAGGGGGTCTTCCTTATTCTCATAGGAAGACTACTGATTTTCGAGAGTGTGTCAGTACGTGTGATCTGATTGACTCTTCTGCCTACGGCTCCCCTTACACTTGGTGGAATGGGAGGCGTAAGGACGCTGCCATTTGGATGCGCTTGGATCGATTTCTTTACACTTTGGTGTGGGAATCGATATTCAGGACATCCGTTATGCAAGTCTAGGACCACGTCTGATCACTGTCCGTTACTTGTTACTTTTGAAGTTATATCTGCTCAACCTATTCCAAAACACTTTAGCTTTCTTAATGTGTGGACCAAACACGAGGATTTTCAGCGTGTGGTTAGAGAAAGTTGGGAAGCGCCTGTTGAGGGTGCTCCAATGTATGTCTTGGCTACTAAGCTGTCCAGGTTAATGAAGGCCCTTGCTCCTTGGAGTAGGGAAACCTTTGGTAATATTTTTTCTAAGTTGCAGGAATTAGAAGATAAGGTGCAGGTGCTAGAAGAGGTGTTACAACATAATCGAGATGATGATAGGGCACTCATTGATTATAAGGAGAGCATGGCTCTTTTGCAAAGACAGATTTCCATCGAAGAAGAATATTGGCAACAAAAGGCTCACATGGTGGCCGTCCAGGAGGGTGACAGGAACTCGATGTTCTTTCACTCGATGGTAAAAGAACGAAGAAGGAAACTCTATATTCATAAGGTAAAAGATGACACAGGACAATGGATTGAGGATAGACAGGGGATAACACAAAATGCTGTCTCCTTTTTTGAAGGTTTATTCACTGTGGAGGCAGGTACCTTTGATTTGGCTAAACTTGACTGTATGTCGCGTCTCTTTACTGATAATGAGAATGCTATGCTTACTGCTATCCCTGAGGAAGATGAGATTAAAAATGTTGTGTTTGACATGAATTCTGTTAGTGCCGCAGGCCCAGATGGGTTTTTCAGGGGCATTCTATAAATCTTGTTGGGATATTATTAAGGGGGATGTGGTTAATATGGTCAGAAGTTACTTCCTTGGTAGGGAGTTCACCAGGTCTATTACTCACACCTCCGTAGTGTTATTGCCTAAAAAGCCAGCCCGGAGACATTTGCTGATTATAGGCCCATTAGCTTGTGCAACTTTAGTAGTAAAATTGTCACAAAGTTAATGGTAGTCAGGTTGGCTTCTGTCCTCCCGAGGTTGCTGTCTCCTCATCAAAGTGGTTTCGTCTCGGGGCGGTCTATTACTGATAATATTTTGCTTGCCTCTGAGATGTGCCATGGTATTACGCTAGGAAATCAGGATATAGTGCTGAAGCTAGACATGGCTAAGGCCTATGACCGGGTATCCTGGTTTTTTCTTGTCTTTGTGATGCGTAAGATGGGCTTTTCTGAAGTCTGTATTGACTTGGTCTATCGTGCTGTTTCCAATGTGTGGTACTCTGTCATTGTCAATGGGGTCAAAGAGGGTTTCTTTACCTCGTCCCGTGGATTGAGGCAAGGAGACCCACTCTCCCCTAGTCTTTTCATAATTGCTGCAGAAGTCCTCTCTACGTTCCTCGCCCGAGTCTATCAGGACGAGGCTGTCCTTAGATTTTCCCAGCCTCCTGGTACTCCTCATATTCATCACTTATCCTACGCTGACGATGTTATTATTTTTAGTACTGGGAGACAGGGGGTAATCTGCAAAGTCATTCGTGCTTTAAAAGATTACGAAGGGATTTCTGGCCAAATGGTCAGTTTTCCTAAGAGTGCTTTTTATATGCATCCTGACACCTCGGGTCGGGTGATTCGTAGGATTAGGGACATCACTAGATGCATTCATAGATCCCTCCCTTTCACCTATCTTGGGTGCCCTATTTATGTGGAGAGGAAGAAGTGCGTTTATTTTTCATCTGTGGTGGACAAGGTAAAAGCCAAATGCCTTAGGTGGCAGCGTCGACTGCTATCTAAGGGGGGTGGGGGGGGGGGGGGGAAAGCAATCTTAGTTACTTTTGTTTTGCAGGCTATTCCTTTACATCTTTTTGCAGCTTGTGCCCCTCCTAAGCAGGTTATTCGGGACCTGGAACAGTATTTTGCCGCCTTTTTCTGGAGGCAGTCGGGAGGTGCACGCTACAATTGGGCTTCATGGAAAACTCTCTCCCTACCTAAAAAAGAGGGTGGAGTGGGATTCCTTGACCATGACTTGATGGTGTGGGCATCTAGTGCGAAGCTTTGGAGGAATTTCCGCAAGGTGTATTCCCTGTGGGGAAGTTTCATGACTGCTAAGTACTGCAGTCGAGTTCACCCGGTGGCGAAACAAGCGCGAACCTCCGATTCACACACTTGGAAGCGAATGCTCAGTGTCAGGAATGAGGTAGAGGCAGTTTTAGGATGGCGCCTGACTCACGGGGATGTTAATCTCTGGTGGGATAATTGGTCCGGCATCGGCACACTAGGGCGCCTTTATCCCTTCCCGGGGGTTGAGTACTTTGGTGATCTATTGTCTGACTTCATTCAGGATGGAGAGTTAGACCTATCGGCGTATGATGACCTTCTGCCGCTTGGGTTGGAGGCTGACATGTCCCGTCTAGGTCAAAGAGTAGCTGACATCCCTATTTGGCGGGTGGCTACGGACGGTTTGTTTTCTTTTTCCTCTGCAAAATCTTTATTCAGACCTGAACCGGTGCAGTCAGATCCTCTTTTGAGTGCATGTTGGTATAAACATTTGCCCTTTAAGGTGTCATTTCTTTCTTGGCGTGTGTTAAGGGGTCGCTTGCCCACTGATGATGCCATGGCTAGATTTGGGCGCCTTATTGTTTCCAGATGCTGGTGCTGCAATAAACCTGTTAGGGAAACTATTGATCACATCTTTTATGCGGGGGACACTGCTAGGGCTGTATTGGGATTTTTTATGGGATCACTCAACTTGCGATTCAGTCATCGAGGTCTACGGACGCTCTTGACTGGGTGGAAGCGGGTGGTTTCACATAACCGTCTTGTTGCTTTTGTTATTTGCAGATTGCCTTAACTTATCCTTTGGGAGTTATGGAAGCACAGGAACACATGCTTACATGGAAGAGGGCCGCCGAGTGTACCTCGAGTGGTTTATGGCATTGCCAAAGGGGTGGGAGAATGTCTCTTTAGGCGATGGCTGCAGGAACACATCTTGCCACCTAATTGGCCGGTCATTCTGTCCTACATAGATTCCACTGTACCGCGGCACGTGGTTCGCGCTGTTAGATGGGATCCCCCTCCGGATGGTTCTATAAAGCTCAATTTTTCATATTCTGAGTCGTTGGGTGGGACTGCTGCCTTGGTACGTAATCGGGGGGGGGGGGGGGGGGGTGGTGGTGGTGGTTTCTGCTACGGCCTAGCCATTTCGGCAGTCGACGGGTTTCAGGACTTTTTCCATGGTATGCACCACTCTCTTGAATGGTGTTTAGCCGAGGGTTTTAGGTCCCTGGTCTTAGAGTCTGTATTGCCTGAGCTTAAGGGTTATGTAGACCCCACCGCACCTAGTCCTTGGGTCTTTGACTCTGAAGTGTCACGACTCCGTTTTCTTTGTTCCTGTGCATCTGTTTCTGTTCTTCAGTGTTTGCCGCAGGGTAACCTCCCGGTGGCTTCATTGGCTGATTGGGTTGGGGATAAGAATGGGGAGTTTATTTTCCGTAATTTGTCAGACTTACCGCCGAGGGTGCGTGCGTTGCTTGTTCATGATTATATCCCATCGGTGGTTTTTGATGATTATGACCCGCCTTGAACTATGGTTTTGCTCTTGATGAATTGTATCACATTTTAAAACAGAAAAAAAAGAAAAAAAAAAGAAAAAGACAAAGTTAGGAAAAGAGAAAAGGCACTTATAAAGAAAAATTGAAATGAAGGGAAAGTACTACTTAGAGGCAATGATGGTTTGGCTTTGTGCCAAGCCTAGCCTCAACAACGTAGGTGTCAACGGTACAAGAGGCACCCTAGTCCGGACTGAACGGTGGCCGGACAAGATTTATCAAATCCGTTGACCTAGTCAGGCTTGCTGCTGGCCCATAGTAGCTAATCCCGTTAGGGTTTTGGTTACTGTTCGTTGCTGGTGCTGTGAGGAGATTGGCTGGCCTGTATTTTGTGTGGGCCTGCGTGCCTGTATTTTTGGCCTGCGAGCCGTGTCTCTATTTTCCTTATTTATCTTTCATTTATTTCTTTAGCGGAGATATTTCTAGACTTGTACTATTATTTCATGTTTTATTGTTTTCTGCTGGGCTAGTTGAGTAGTTGGCCTTGCCGGCATAGGGCGTAGGGGGCTTTTCTCTTTCTGCTCTGTGCTCTCTGTGCCTATCCTGCTTCTATCCGTGGCTGCGTGTTTCGCGGGATTTGATTCCTGTGTTTCATGCATAGCATACACTTTGAGGTGAGAGTGCTCTCTTAGTCTGCTTTAAATATCTTGCTTGAGTTGGCGATTGGAAGAAAAGGCTGGTTGTTACATAAAGGGTTGGGTGGGTGTGAGGTGGGCTTCCGGTGCTTAGCATATATATTATTGCTTCTGTGGATGGCCGTACAGGTTCCCCGGGCTAAAATACAGTACGCTGTACCGAGGGAGCTGGTCTAACGCTTAAGGGTGGTATATATGTTGGCATTAGTGGTTAGGGAGCCATCGCTTGGGACTTTGGGTCGTTGAAGCCCTCTGCGATAAAATGCAGAGCTCTGTACGTACGAGGGTGGCCTGGGTTCCAAGGGTGGGTGGAGGTGAGAACCATTGCTCATGTAGCGGACTATTCACGGTCCCCCCGGATAAAAATGCAGAGATCTGTATTGGAGGGGATTTGTCCAACGCATGAGGGTCGTAGGGTTTCGGGAGGCTGGTTTCATTGCTTCTGTGGATGGTCACATAGGTCCCCTCGGATAAAAATGCAGAGCTCTGTACCGCGGGGGATCGACCTGACGCTTGAGGGTGAAACTAGTCCTTCTTTGGCTATGTAGCACCGTTCCCACCCTTTGTATAGGGCATGACGCCCAGGAATTGTCCAGCTTTGCATGTGGTACATGTGGTTTGTAGAATGGGTGTTGGGCCCACTTGGTGGTTTAGAGTTTATCTCCTTTATTAGTTAGCGTTAGGCCTCTTTGCTTTATTCTTTATCTCTTTGTAGCCTTGGTCAATTTTGGGCCTTGGCAAGACGTTGTTTTGGTTTTTTAATAAGAGTTCCTTTCTTAAAAATAAAATAAAATGTAGCAAAGTAAAAAAAAAGTGAAGGAATCAAAGTCTACCTAGATCTCATGCCAATGTGTTATTAATGACAAAACTCTAATCTACACCGTTTGCCATCCCCGGCAACGACGCCATTTTGACAAAGATTGTAGTATACGTGAAATGGAAATAAGGTTGAGAATGAAGATTCCTGGGATTTCGTTCTCACCGGATGACAAATTGGAGAGCTCAAAGTAGAGTCACTAATAATGCATTGGCAATCTTCACTAGGCAAAACAAAGGCATGACTATGGCTAGAGGATGTGACAAATGTAAAATAGCTAAACCCAACTGATACAGGTAATTCCTGGTTGTACTCGTAGAATGTATGTATAGTATGAACAAGGAAGGCGAGATATAGGCAAAGAAGTCCTTTTATTCATAATTGCTCTTTTGCATTTGTAGAGAGAAGGGAGAGCATAATGTAGAGAGTGTGTGTGTGGAAGAAGAGGGGAAATACCCCTAACTTGGAGGGCTAAGGCCCTATTTATAGGGTCAAGGGTTGGCGGGTTGACCTTGACCCGAACCGTTTGACCCGACCCAAGTAGGAGCACGGAGCGTACGGGGAGCCTGAACCCGGGGTATATTCCCCATCACCAACAAAGCAAAGAAAAAGAGAGTTGGATTAGTCTTCCCATGACATGACATTCTCTTCTAAAAGATGAATTGATACGGTGATTGAAGGATTACTATGGAAGTACTAAGGCACAATCACTAAACCGCGTAGGGTTTATACTCCTAGGTCCTAAGTCGGCTAGGGCATTTCGTTAATCCCTTGGTCTACCACTCCTAGCTCTATCGGGTCCTAGGGCGGAGATTATGCGCCACTAGACTAATGAGAGAGTGCAATATCTTCTCAAACCCTCATTCTTATCCATATATCCTATTGTGGCCATCAACAAGATAGAAGCACAACAAAGCAAGCACATAACATAGTATTCAATCAATTCACCAATTCAATTCAATGCAACATAGAGATCTTAGAATGCGATATCATAAGGAATTCTAATCTAACCTATCTATCTAGCTACACATGGCTATGGTTGCCTCCAAGCAACCTCTAGACAAGAAGAGATAAGAAAAAATAGCAATTAAAAAGAAGACAAGCTGAAAAGTAAAAGCAAAAAGTAAATTGATACCAAATTCTTCAATCCTTTCCTTCAATGTGGAGTTCTTACTTCCAATTGAAAGCAATTCTCTCCTTTCTCTTTCTAGGCTTCTCTACCTTTTCTCTACAATTTTTAGAATGTAAAATCTAGAACTAAAGACTAACTACTCCTGCTGGAAATTTTCCCCAAATTAAATGCCTCCTTGCGCTCCGAGGAATAGCCCGATCCACGCATCGCCCCACGCGCGTGGATTGGGTCGTGGATTTTGCACTTAAGCGCTGCCCTGAACATGGTCCATTTTCCTTCCTCCCACGCTGCGACCCACGTGCGTGGACGGTCTTGTGGATATTTCTGTTTCTTCTCCACGAGCTGCCCCACACAAGTGGGTTGGGTTTTGGGGTTATTTCCTCCATTTGCACCGAGCTCCTTTCTTATTTCCTTTGTTCACTTTTCTCCTTAAATCCCTACAAAAAGCCACAAAGTGTTCTCCCCTACTTGTCAAGCATTGGGTTTAGCAAATTGCATCCATTTATTACCTTATTTCACATGCACTTTTCCCTACTTTACACACGAATGTTTAAACAAATAAGCTTCCAAAACGGTACACTTTTGGGGCTTATCAAAATACGTGTTCGCAATTTGATCTTTTTGCATCTAGGTCGAATTTTAAGGTGTGTGGTTTTCCTTCTTAAGGTTCATGGTTTCTGCAGTGCATTAGTTGTTGAAACTTAAGCGCGTCGGTCTAAAGTTTTAGGTGCATAATTTTCCTTCTTAAGGTGTGTGGATTTTGTGCTTAATGTGCGTTTTTTGAAGAAACTTAATGTGCGTCGATTTAAAGTTTCAGATGCATTGTTTCACTTCTTAAGGTGCGTGGTTTGTGTGCTTAAGGTGCGTCATTTGTTGAAACTTAAGGTGCGTCGCACTAAAGCTTTAGGTGTGTGGTTTTACTTCTTTAGGTGCATGGTTTTCCTTTTTAAGGTGCGTGATTTGTGTGATTAAGGTGCGTCAGTTTTTGAAACTTAAGGTGCGTCATTTTAAAACTTTAGGTGCATGGCTAGTGTTCTAAAAATGTTTTGTTTGTGTACCTAAGGTACGTGGTTTATGTATTTAAGGTGCGCTATTTTAATGCTTAAAGTTAGGTGCGTCAATTCTAATTTAAAGTGCGTCCTTTTGTGTTAAAGGAAGTTATCTTCGCATCCAATCTCAACCATATATATGATTAAATATTTAATAGAAGTTAGGAGACCAAAGTGGTTTATAGCCAGCATGAAGTCAAAATATTTCACGGAGTATAAACCTGGAAGTTAGGTTGGAATGTAAATTTTGTAAACATTTACACTTATGCTATTTTAATTGAATAGATGAAGGTCAAGCATCTTGTGTTTAGATGGCATGTAATAACTTCTCCCATGTGAGAGGTCATGAGATCTCTGTATGATCCATAATCATTTTTCTTAATTGATCGATAATCAAATTAAATCTTGATCAATTCTACCAAATCATACATTTTTCTATTTAATAAAGTCATTAATTATATATTTTTATTATCGATAAAATAGAACTAATACTATACAATATTGAGTGCAATTATATAAAACATATGAAGATTTGTATTTGTATGCATGAATTATAAAATATGTAGAAAATAAACTTTATTTATAATAACTATTATTATTACATACAAAC